TGCAGCCATTAGATAGCTAAAAGCTTATAAAAATTACTCAAGGTTTCTAAACAGACACAATTTAATATAGCTGGAAAAAACCCAAGATTTTCGGTGTACAAGCTGTTTTCTTAAAGGCATTTAAAGACATCACCACTCCTTACAACTCTGCCCCCCCAACTCTGCCTCTTATCAGTATTTTTGTATCACAGTTGCAATGGTATACCATAAAATACGTGATGTGTGAAACTGAGAAAAATTATTCAGGCTGCCATATGCAGAGAAGTTGTTTATGCAATCCTGGGCTGAATGCACCCAGGAAAACCTGGAGGGAAAATTCACATTAAGAGTAGCCTCATCAGGTGGTTTGAAAGACTACGAAAGGCTAACTAAGTAGTTTAGCTGTCTCATCCTAATAAATCCTATTTGTAATCAATGAAAAACACCTTGACCCTTTCCTGTTTAGTGTGGAAAATGAGGGGAGCTTTTTTGATCATTAAAGAGATTTCTACCGATTTTAACTCACAATACATTTTTAAGCTACCCACCAAGTGTACTAATAGTCTTTACAAAAATGACTTCAGTCTTTCCATATCTCTATGAATGAGATACTCCCACTTCTAACAGGAAAACTGGGCACACAAAGGTTTACTGATTGCAAGACACACTTCATTCTTGTTACTAAAGACTGGCTCCACAGATCAGCTTGTTCAGCAATATGGTACTACTGGTCTTGCAAAAAGCTCTGAATGGGCAAGCACAGGCAACATGAGGAATTTGAACCTATTTGAACTGCAGGTAAATCTAGGGGTTTTACTGCACTGCCCTGTGAATCAATAATTTTCAGGGTCTTGTCTTATTTTGACCACTAACGCTCTCCAACTCTCCATATTTGCCTGACAGTTCTCCACAACTCAGAAAATTTAAATTGAGAGAGTTCTAATGTGTTATGTTATGATTGACTATTTCACACTATTGTTTCCACTATTCATTGGAAGTTTGAAGGAAGTTATTTTTTATGTCCTTTGAAGCTGTTATTTTAAGCCAAGTTGACAGTGTTCATAATATTTCAAACAAGCTGACAGATCGTTAAGCTAATGTGCACTGTAAATGCACATGTACATGAACCTTAAAGAAAAACCATGCACTGACAAAATAACATACGTGAGAAAATAACACAGATTTATGACAAAATGAAAAAATCCTCTGAGGCAGGTGATTATAATGGATCATGATCATGCTGAGGAAGTTTGGAGAAAGGCAAGGCAGAGTCGGAATGCATTTGGCTAACTTCAGCATTAGCAAGTTATCAACGTCAGTGTCATGAAGGCAAAAAAAGTCTTCCTCCAGAAGTTCCAAAAGTGTTTTTACTCTCACTACATACAGCTGGGAGATTTGGAATTGCACCAAAAAACAGTGGAAGCAGAAAACTGAATGAGACACTCATGGCGTGCCTTACTAGTCAGAACTAAAGAAGGGAATTGATCACACACCAAAATCACTCCCTAGGCATAACATAATTGAAAAAAAGCAGATACCGAGGTGGCTTTAAGTGGCTTAGAAAAAACAACTAATTCATGACCCTAACTTACAACAAATGGCTACTTTGACTTCAGCAGGGATGATAAAACATGGGATAGAAAAGATCTTGTTTCTTTCTAAATAAAAAAAAAAAAATTCAAAGAATTATTTAATCACACCATTCTGAACCAAATTCTACACTACCTAGCAGCGAACTCAAGTGATGTCACAGGGACGCCACCACACAACAGGTTGATCTTTAATTTGTTTGCCCTTTGATAGACCCATCAGTAGGATTCCGGTAGTCAGGTGTAAAGCTATCAAGTCACATGTGGAGCAGAGGATAATAAACCGATAACCAGCAGTCAGACACTATGGCTACAGTGGCAAGGAAGATTTCTGGGAGCTTCGTCAGGGAGCTTCTGCCACCTTGTAAAGTGGTGCGGTCTTTCTGAGCCCCCAGGCTTCCTACTAGCACTGCAGCAGTGTGCCTGCCTCTAATGAGTGCCCCTTTTGCTCTAGGAAAGGGCATTATCAGACCCTCCTTCCTATCGGGGTATCCACTTCTGTCCCTGCTACTGCTGTTTTCATGACCCTGCTCCTATGGGAAAGCAGGGGCCTTACATTTTCCCTGAAGCAAAGAGAAATTTCCCTCTTTCTGAAGTGGGAATGTGTCTAAAACCTTCATAGACACCAGAATAACAGGGACTATGGACAGTATGTAGTGTGAGCCATAATATCCGGCAAGAACACCTTCCTGGATTTAGTTTGTGCTGTTACCACCATATGCAGGAATAGTGGTATGGGCATCCAACAGCAAGGTCAAAATGTCATTTATATTTTTGCTTAAATGCAAAAATGAATTCAGACAGTCAAAACAGGCCTTTATTGGATCAGCTCTGGCATGACAGCACAGTCAACTAAATTACAGTTAACTTTAAACACCTTCCTGCATGTATCTTTCTTCCTGCTGCATATGTACCAAATCCATAGTCTAAAATAATGATGCCAGAATCACTCCTAACTGATGAAGTGTAAGAAATTATAGCAACTATTTTCTGCTTTCAAACACTAGTGATTTTTGTTACAGACTCAATAGAGCCTTCTCAAGTTAAACGCAAATGCTATCTTAATTTTGACTTGAAACAGAGATGTACTCTAAAACAGCAAAATCTGTGTATACAGCTCTATACTTGTTTCAACAAAGTCAAATAATATTTGCTTTAAGGGGATTAAAAAATTTCTTCCTCAAAAATCAGAAGTTACTATTTCTACTATGTATTTCTTCAAGCAGCTTAACCCTCAGTCTTGATTCTCCACAGCTTTATCTATTTTCCTGCATCACCTACAGTTCGTACCCCCACCACTTTGTCATGACTTAACATTTTCTTGTTCGCCTTTGCAAGCATCTCTGCATCCTGTCAGGCCACTAAGTGCTTTCATCATTCCAGTGCAGGAGTCAATCCCATCCTCCTCTTTCTAAATCCTACTTTGACTACATGTTCCTTTTTAATTTTTTTTTCTTATCACTCCCCCACCCCCCAAATATAAGATGATGGCTTTTTCTTTTTTTAATTATTTCATCAAGATGCCTTGTGAAACGCCTGATTTTAACCATACACAGAGATTTCCAGAGAGTACCACCCGTTTTAGGTAAGAATGCCACTAAAAAAGCAATTTACACTGCTCCTTTACACAAAAATCTTGCACGTTGCTTAATGACACCAACAAAAGCAAAGACAAAAATTCTTTAGGCTTTAAAAGTACAAATCCAAGAACACTATCAACTTCATTTCCACTAGGAAATCACTTCAGTCTTGCATTTTATACAGGGGTCACCAGCTGGAAATTGCACAAGATGCACAGGATAGATCTTTAAAGTATTCATAATCACCTTAAACTGCACTCAATCAGCATTGCAATATGTCATCTTATAGACACACAAAAATTCAAACGGAAAAGCACATGAAAAAGCAGACTACGAAGAGCACTATTGTTAAAACTACACCAGAAAGCTTAATATTTCAATACTGTGTATGTTAAAATAAACAACATACACAGGTGATGAAAGCCAGTCTCTGAAAAATTTATTATTCTGTTAGAACAAGTTTATACTTAGGATGAATTCTCAAGCTTCATGCCATTAGGAAGTTTTACTGGGTTTATAATGGAAATAAAAACAGAAATAAAAATAGATGACAATCCCAAAATACAGGCTGTACTTTGAATATGATCAACGGGCTTTCTTTTCCTTTTACATCTATACATTTCCTCTTGCCTCCAGCAATCAAATTTTATTCAATCTTCATGAAAAGTTCCCTAAATTGCCTGTTTTCCTTTTTAAAATCAGTATTTTGAAAGACGAAACTGAACAGACTAACATAACTTGTATTAGTTCAGTATTATTTCCCCAAAGCCATCCTATTGTACAGCTTTCAAGGGTTTATGATGTCAGTTTGATTCAAAGGATCCTGCACCCCCCTGCCCCATTTCCTCTGTAATCTTACTTTGGCTTCCAAAAAAATTGACTCTAATCTCATTTTCTCCTCCTATGCATGCCATAAGTACTTATTCCATTGAAGTGAAAGGGACTGGGCATCAATTCTTTGGGTAAGATGGGCACAAAGGAGATATGGATGATTATTAGGATGATTAATGTTAAAAGCAGTAAAGCTTTGCCTGGTGAACTTGCACTCAACATTGCAAAATTAAACTCTTGGAACTGCACTGGTTTGTAAACTATACTACACAAAGCAAGAGGAAGCACTGATTGCTCTCAGCTTCGAATTATAAAGTAGTAGCAAGAATTGTATGTATTCTTTGTCAGCTAGATTCATAACTACTGGAAATCCAATTTTAAGTTTAATATGAACGAAGAAAATACAGAGTATATTTCATAATTTTAAATAATTTGAAATCATTCCCATTTTGACTCTTTCTGACCACACTGCATTTACATAAATTGTTCAAATTTGCCTCAGTGTTAATTTTTACACATTGAACAATGTAACAACATTTGGCATTTAATATGCAGTATTACCCTTATCCTCACCCACTTGGATGCTATTCTCCTCTGCCTATTATCTGGATGAATAACGGATTTCAGTATGAAATTTTATGAGTTACTGCTTCATGTATTCAATATCTCAAATAAAATACGGAAGTATGTATTTTTAATTACAAAAGAACCAACAAGAAATTACAGCTTTTTCCACAAGCATTGCGTCTTAAGTGAATAATATTCTAAACATAGGTATGTGGCCAACTTTTATTTTTAAAAAAAACAGAGTTTCCTCGGTGTTTTGAACTGAATAGCAGCACACTGAATGATCGGTTGTAGAGAGGCACAAGAAATATTAAATTTTGCCTATGAGTTATTTAGTTTTCAGGGGAGGGAAAAAAAAAAGTAAGTATAAAAGTACCAAAATTGATTTTATCAGCTTCAACATTCAGCACTTGATATATTAGAAGCATATATTGTTATCAAATACTTGACTTACACTCATATTTCTATCCCAGATCTGGATGGAGCCATCTTGACAGCCAGCTGCAATAAGTTTACCATCTCTGCTGTACGTGCAGGTTGTAGGAATCACCCGTTTACCTTGAACTGATCGTGGTTTAAATACACTTTTGTGCTTTTTTTCATTGTTAACATCCCACGTCCTCACAGTTCTGGGAAAAGGTTTAAATAAAGAGTTGTTTTAGATAAAGTTAATAAATATGAAGTAATTCTTCTTACAATATAATCAAACACCTTTTTCAGCATAAATGGCATATAATATTGTTCAAATAAAGTTGTAATGGCAAAATAGCATTTAAGATATGGTATGGCAGTCATGAAACTAACGTGACAACTTTTCAAGTAAGAAACATCATATTCACTAACCAAGCATGTGAAGGTTTAAAAAAAAAAAAAAAATCAGTTCTTCCCAAATTCTCATGTACATACATAAAATTATTTACAAACGGACAAATGACCAAAGGTTAATACTCAGGTACTACATAGTCTCCACTGTCACTGGAAATCAGGAAGATGAAAGTATTCAGTCCTTTACATAAATGAGACTTCAGGAAACAGGCATAAATGCTTTTACAAATTCATTAACTAAACAGATTGTCTTAATTGTTCTGACATGGCAACAACTGACAAACCTGCTTTTAACTGGCAGTATTGCAGACTGGCTGGCTATTCTTCAGATTTTTCTTTATATTAAAAAGGCATTTTGAACAATTAATTGCAATATTATTGAGTTCTCTTCTACTAATCCTGAAGGTCTTAGAGTTCTGTTGTAAAAGTATTCTTCAAATACTTTACACAGACTCATTTATGTAATATTGTTTTTTCAAGTTGAGTTTTTCCCACATTATTAGCAAAATAAATACAACCTTTTTCTTTTTAATGAAAAAAGAATATCTGCCTGGATCTTCCATGTTTCTTAGATACACAAAAACATCCAAATGAGAGAGAACTGAAACACTGAGATACAGGTGGACTTTTTAAACTCTGTCTTAGACACAAATGTTTTCTGTCCATTTAATATGTTGAGTTCTTTCCAGATAAAAATTCAAAACTCTTCTGGCATTTAATGCAGAGAAGAGTTTCAGGATTTGGCAAAGAAAGGAAGATCATTCATTTAGAAAGAAAAAAATCACTAAGTTCTCAAGAAAACCTCATTTGTTTAGACTATACAAACATTGCCTATGATCCAACAGCATGTAATTCACTGGTCTCTAGCAAAGCAAATACCACTTGAACAAAGGCTGCCATTTCTCCAGAACAAGACAAGACACTGCGGCATAACATTAGGAACTTCCATCAGAGCTACAAGACCAGACAGGCTACAGAGCTGACATATATATAATTCTAGGATGAAACAGACAAGAAAATGAGCTGGAAATAGCTCACAGAAGTTATATTTAATCGCACATTTAATGATAGTAGTGAGAAATCAGTAACTGAAGTAGAATGAATCTCCAGTTGTCCATAATAAAGTCAAGATTAGACTCATTTTTAAAAGCCTTAAATCTCCTATCTGTAAGGCATCACTTCATTGCTCTATTTGGAGCTCTAGCATAAGACATTCAAGTGCTCCCTCAGTAAGTTTGCAGA